AGTGGGAACTGCGGGCACGGTTAAAGGTGGCTTTCCAGAGGTGAAATATCGATTTTGGAGAATTCCTGCTTCACCCTGCTTCCTAGCACAGCAAAAGCAGCCTGGACCCAAACTCATCGTCTTTTCAAAAGGAAAAGGGAGCTGTCTGGGGAATTCCCTTGCTCGGGGAACGCTGCTGTTCCCCTGTTTGTTCTTTCTCAGGCGTTGGCCATGCCCAAAACGCGTGCCCGGCTTGCACAGGGCTGCTTCCCGCAGCCAGCTCTGCACGGCTGACAGCTCCAACCACAGCACGGCAACTTCTGCATTGCACCGCAGGGGCTTTTGAAGTCCTTATTGAAATGTGACCTCCAAAAAATGAAAAATGATAAGAAAAACCATGCAGTTCTTCCAATTATTTTTTTTTTCATTACTGTGGGTAAATGGTTTAATGTCCAATGTCCCTTTCCCTTTCAGAATAAAACCAGACTAGAAATTCAGATCCTTTTTTTTTTTCTCTGCTTCCCTCCCAAAAAATCTATGGTCAAGTGGAGGACTGGCAGGATGAGCGTTTAAAATACACTGTGCAGATGAAAGGTAACCGAGAAGCAATTTCTATCCAGCTTATTTTAAAGAATCCTTTGTTTCTTTCTTGATTTTTACTTGGCTGTATTTCATTCCAGTGCTGGAAAATGAACTCTAAGAAGTAAACAGCCCTCCTCCTTCTTGCAAACACCTCTGCAAAGACCTTCGAGAAGATCAGTGGGAAGAAAAAGGGTGGAATTGGGATTCCTGGGATCCCAGGGACAAAAAGCCAAAGAGAGGAAAGCTTCCAAATGCCGGTGTCTTTGCAGACAGCGTGAATTAAGGAATGCACCCTTTCCCTCCCATCCCAGTTTTGCCTATAGCTTTCACCTCTAATGATGCTTAGCAGAGCACTAAGGCAAAACTGAAGCAGGATCTTTGGGTTTGGAGCTTAAAAACATGTCCTCCAAGAATAAAACCGGACAAAGGGGGAGCAGAGCAGGACAGAGGAGGTTCTGCCTGGCCCCTGCTCACCCTCAGCTCCATATAAAAGGCTTTTCTCTGTCACACGAAGGGGGAAAGCTGCTGCTGCACAGCCTCCCCATTCATGACCGCAGCTACATCCTCTGCTCATTAAAACAAGCCTCAATCACCCATGATAGATTTCTCTCTTATAAATTTCTGACACAAGGAGGTAACTGGCTTATTCTCATCCACACCAAGAGATTAAGCAAACTAATGAAAGCAAATTGAGCTTCTCTTTCAAGGAGACACAATATTTGCTCCTATTTAACTCTTCCTTTTCTGCAATGAAGCAAATCCTCCCAGCATCCTCAGCCTGCGCTTACACGGCCAGAGAAAATCCATTTAAATCACACAGGCAGGAGCATGGGAACACACAGCTGCTTCTCCACTGCCTTCAGCAGCAGCCAAGTGGTTAAGCAGGCGTAATTTGTCTCTTTTCCAGTATTAACAAGCATGTCCCCATCCTACATTTGGCTGCCTTTCTCCACAGTTCCTCCCCATGCATCTGATTACAGCAACCCAACCAGTTGGACCGGATTCCCCTTTTCAAGGTGCTGCACCTTCTCTATCCATAGCTAGAAACATTTTTTCCCCTTTTTTTAAATCCCCTCCCCTTTCCTGGGCCTTTCCCAAAGCCTCGGTGAACAAAGTCTCCCTGGGGACTGTGTGACATAAGGCTACACCGGCAATGCCAGTGCCCCGTCTCTGCTCCTGAGATCGGTTTACAATTAATCCGTGAGTGTACACACAAATAACGCAGCCTCACACCAAGGGGAGAGCACAGGACTTAGCACCAAAGTACAGAGGTTCTGCTGCTTAAACTACAGAGGTCTCTCTCTGCTATAGGAGACAGATTTACTGACACTGAAATGGGACATAATCACAGTATTATTTGGTTGGAAAAGATCTTTAAGATCTTTGAGTCCAACCATAACCTGTCCACTACTAAACCATGGCCCTCAGCACCTCATCTCCCCAGCTTTTAAACTCCTCCAGGGATGGGGACTCCACCACTGCCCTGGGCAGCCCCTGCCAGGCCCTCAGAACCCTTTCCATGAAGAAATTTCCCCTCAGATCCAACTTCACCCTCCCCTGCCACAACTTCAGGCCATTTCCTCTTATCCCATCACTTGTTCCTGGGGAGCAGAGCCCGACCCCCCCTCTCTACCCCCTTCTTTCAGGAGCTGCAGAGGGGATAAGGTCTCCCCTCAGCTCCTCTTCTCCACTTGAACCCCCCAGCTCCCTCACTGCTCCCCATCATTCGGTTGCTCCAGATCCCTCCCCAGCTCCGTTGCCCTTCTCTGGCCACGCTCCAGCCCCTCAATGTCCTCCTGGGAGTGAGGGGCCCCAAACTGAACACAAATCCTTGCCTCCAAACCAGCACATCAACAGGAGTGCACAGGGTTACAATCACACACAGGCATCCCTGTGCTGTAGGACTGAATTCTCCGTACAAGAGGCTCTTTTGCAGGATGGCTTAGGGGTACACGGAGATGGTTCACCTGGGGAGAAGCAATTTTCCCCTCCCTCCCCAGCCATCTTCTCTGGGGCCTGATGAAGAGATCTGTTGGAGAGCCAGGACCTGGGTGAGAAGAGAAGGGATGAAGCAGACAGGCACCTGATATCCATAAGAATCCACCAAATCCACTAATTCACCAAACCAAATCCTCAACATCTCTGCTGCCAAGCAGCTCCGTGTCAGCAATTACCAACTAACCCCTAGGATCTGTTTGGTTTTGCTTTCACCTGTGGAGTTAAACAGCTAAACCTGAAATTTTGGAAGAGGAGACTCCTGGAAAGACTGCTGAGGAAGGCAAGCTGGCAGCCTGCTGACAAGAAGCACCCCTGAGCAGGAGCCTTTGCTCCTGCACCTTGGTACCTACCATGGGGTCAGCTCCTGGGCAAAGAGGTGTCTGTAGGTGAGGGTCTGTGGTGACTAGGGATGGGGTCAGCCACCCAAACCCCAGTGCCCTGTGTTGGGGGGTAACCTGTAAAGCCTGGAGCTGCCACTCTAAGGGTGACAGTTGTCTGCAAGTCCTGAACCGTATCTGCTGTGATACGAGAGAGCAAGAGGTAGATAATGAGAGCAAGAGGTAGATAGTCCACACTATCATCCTCTGACCCTTCAAAACAAGGTTGCTGGATCCAAACCATGTGTTTGGCATGGTTCCTGGCCCAGGCTAATGCACAAATTGAGTCTGAACAATGCCTGGAAGAGTGCTACTGGCCCAGGCCAAAATCATGCAGGGGTGGCATGATTTCATAGTGTGGATGAGCAAGTTTCTGTACCTGGGAACACTCAGATGTGCTGTATAAGTTACCATCAGATGATGTAGCCCACAGGGTGAGGTGAATCTGGGCTCCTGTGACTTGTCTACATCTCAGTTGGCTATAACAGAAGCTGAGATGCTCAGATCCCCTGCAGACACTGAAGCTTAAGTGTCTTCATCTTATGATGAAGTTGACACTGTCAACCTATGAACCTGGGTGTCAACTTGATAGCACTGAGCATTAAGGCAGAGCAAAGTGCTTTTATGTTAAGTCCATAGGAGGATTTTTTGGCTTGCAGAATGTAGCAGAAAGGGAGGCTGAGAAGCAGCACATCAAGGCATCAACCCTGGGTGCAATACAGAGGAACAACTGGAATAAAACAGAAAAATCTTCTCTGGAGACAGACATTCAATTGATCTTCTCTAGGTGATCCTGCTCTAGCAGGGGCATTGGACTAGATGGTCATTCATCCTTATCAAACTGGAGAACACATTCTGATTTCTAATCTCTGAAGTTTATCTCCCTTATGAGGAGCGGCTGAGGGAGCTGGGGCTCTTGAGCTTGGAGCAGAGGAGACTGAGGGGTGCCCTCATTCCTGGGGATCCATTTGGAAAGGGCAGTGTCAGGAGGAAGGAGCCAGGCTCTGCTCTGGGATGTCCAATGGCAGGACAAGGGGCAATGGTCCCAAGCTGGAGCACAGGAGGTTCAAGCTGAAGCTGAGGCCAAAGTTTGTGAGTGTGAGGGTTATGGAGCATGGCCCAGGCTGCCCAGAGAGGTTGTGGAGTCTCCTTGTGTGGAGACACCCAAAGCCCTGGCCGTGTTCCTGTGTGACTGCTCTGGTGATCCTGCTGTGGGGGGGTTGCACTGGGGGAGCTTTCCAGGTCTCTTCCAACTCTTGATATTCTGTGATTCTGTGATTCTGTGAAGTTCCTGAAATCCCTCCAAGCCTGATATCACCTGCAGATGAGAATGAACTTTCCTATAATTCAGGTGCATAGAGACATGGTTTAGTGGTGGACAGGTTATGGTTGGACTCGATGATCTTAAAGGCCCTTTCCAACCAAGTGATCTTATGATCCAGATATTACTGAAAACACTTAGCATTTCTGGACGTAGGACAGACTCCAGCCTTCCAGTTTCATAATAAATCATTTACAACTACGCTGAGTATGGGTTCCCAGCCACACAAACCCGCCCTTCACTTTGAGAAGGTCATGTGAATCAACGTAAAAACTTCTGCCCAAAGCACTGTGATTTCTTGACACAGCTTCTGTCAAAGAGCTCCAGGCTTTGCATACCAGATATTATAACGTCACGAGCTTTGAAGGGGGTTAAAAGCAGCTTTTGTGCTTTTCTGCACCCTTTTCATGGGTGTGATGGATGGCAGAAGCAGGAGAATTAGCTCTGAAGGGGCGTGATGAGAGCAGCTGATCTAGAGTCACATGAAGGGTCAGAAATGTAACCTTTCAGAAGATGATTCAGCATACTTCTGTGTGTTTGGAGGAACATTATTTCCAGATTTTGGCTCTTTTTGTGAAGGTTCTAATGAAAACATTTTTGCCCTTTTGCCATGGTTTGTCCCGTGGGCATTTTCAAACATCCAGCAGTTTTTAAGAGACAGGTTTTAGGTCTGACTGTTACTGAGTATCAAGCTAAAAAGCGTTTCTTGAACAAAAATAATTTAAATATTTTGTTTTCTTAGTCTCGATGAAATTTCTCATTATCAAAACACATGCATGTCAACAGCAATTTATGGAAAGCATATTTCCTATAAAGATGAATAATCCTTATGAGTTTAAAATCAAAATATTTGTCAGTAAAGACCAGTTCATATGCAAAAAGAACGATGAGTGACCTATTAGGCATAAAGAAAAAGCATGATAGTTCAAATAAAGTTACTATGCATACGATCTTTATCAAAGAGTGGCAATAAGGAGCATCATTTCTATATTTCTATTTCGCTTGCGTATCATATGTGACCATGTAACTGGTTCAAGATGTGCCCAGAGCTCAACCATACAGTTCCTACCAAGCCACATCGATACATTCAGCTGAATGCACTCATTTATTGCAATAAAGTCCCCGAGTCTGCGTTCCTCTTTGCATGGGAGACCAAGCAGATGATGGTTGCTCTCTCCTAATGGCCTGAAAATGGATTTGGCCTTATAAAAGAGAAAGCACAATGCGATATTTAAGGGGTGAGCTTAGGACTAGGGCAAACATTGTGCTGTTGTGTGCTGCACCATCAGCTTCCTGGGTAGGTCAAGGTCAATTAGAGGTGAATTCCTTTCAAAGCAGCCAGCTCTGACTCCCTTTATAGGCTATGGAAAGACATAGGCATCTCTAGAGGGCTGCTCTTTCATCCTACATTAAGTGAGATGAATTACCCTCTGGAAGTACTGCGGTCTCTCTGTTGACTGTACAAGGAGCCTGCAGTGACCAAACCAGCCAGGCTTAAATATTAAAATTTCAGACAAACACACCCAGCCAGAGAAACCCCATCCCAAATGTCAAACTTGCAAACATTTGTGGTTGGGGCAGACAAATCCCATCTCGTGTCTTTCTGTGCCTCATTTTTTCAACTCCAAACAGGGTGGTAGCACTTTGCTGTCTCACGTGGGAGCTGTGAAGGTAACAACAGTACGAGATTGTGAGGTGCTCAAGGATTGCAGTATTAGGAGCCGTATGTGTGCACTTGGTAGATAACTCACTATATATTCCTACTTTTAAAGACTTCTTAGCAGGCAATGATAATACCTAAACAGCCAGTAACTCCTTTGAAGACTTCACAGACTTTTGCCAGGGCTTCTTATCCCATATCAGATCATTTTGCTGGCAGAATATAATTTCCCAAGTTCAGAACTTACAGAATATGGACACAGGGAATTTACACCTTTACCTTCCTCAAAAGCAAAGCAGTTACAGCTCGCTCACTTTCACATCTACATCAGGAAGATGAATCCCTTTTCTACAGAATATGCTTTACATTCCCCTTATAGTAATATCTTGATCACTTCCAAAACCTACCTGTATTTAAATACATATTTAAAGGGAAAAGTTTACCCATTTTCCAAGCAGGACTCTTCTTTCTTCGAATACCTGTAAAACATACACATACAAATAAAATTGAATACTTAAAGGGCATTCAATATATCCTAAGAAAAACAATCTATGTGACCTGCAAAATATAACCCAGATCACTGACTGGAAGGGTTTGGAAGGAACCTGTGGAGATCTTTTAGTCCAAATTCCCTGCTAGGGTCAACTGAAGCAGGCTGCTCAGGCCCACATCCAGATGGGTTTTGAATATCTTCCTTGGATGGATATTCCACCACCTCTGTGGCAACTTGTTACAGCGAGTGACCACCCTCACAGCAAGAATGGTTTTTCTTATATTTAAATGTTAAATGGAAGCTTATGTTAAATGGAATTTCCTATACTTCAATTTATGGCCATTGCCTCTTATCGCCACTGGATGCCACCAAGAAGAGTCTGGCTCTGTCTTCCTGACCCACTTCCCATCAGATATCTATATACACTGATAAGGTCCTCTGTGAGCTTCTCTCCTCTAGGCTGAACAACCCCGGATCTTTCAGCCCTTCCCTAAACATCAGATTCTCCAAATCCTTAATCATTTTTGTGGCTTTGTTCCAGTAAGTCCATGTCTTTCTTGTACTGAAGAGCCCAGAAATGGACACAGCATCCCAGATCTGTCTTTATCAGTGCTGAGCAGAGTAGAAGGACCACTAACACTCTTCCTAATGTAGCCCAGGATGATGATGGCTGCCTTTGTTGGCTCGTGGTCAACCTGGTGTTCACCAGGACCAGGTCTTTCTCTGCCAAGCTGCTTTCAAACAGTCAGTCCAGTTCTCCAGTCTGTCAAGGTCCCGGTTTATCGCTGCAATAACCTCCTCAGGGACACAGTAGAGTCCCCATTGCTGGAGCTTTTCAAGATGCAATTGGACAGAGTGCTAGATAATCTCATCCAGGCTCCCTTTCCCATGAAATGTTGGACCTTTCAGGTCCCTTCCAACCTGGGCTGTGCTGTGATTAATGAGAGCACAAACATCTGATCTATCACCTACTCCTCTCAAATCTGTAACATGTACAAATTTGCTGAGGGTGCTCTCTGCCCCATCATCCAAGGTATTAATGAAGGTTTTTAATTTGTCTTTCTACTTCCTCTTGGTATCCTGAACTCCATCGTCTCCTGGTCACTGCAGCCAATGTTGTCCCTGACCTTCACATCCCCAACCAGTCCTTCCTTCTTTGTAAGGATGAGGTCCAGCAGAGCATATACCTTGATGACGTGTGTCAGGAATTATCAGTGCACTTCTGAAACCTCCTGGATTGCATGTCCTGCTGTGTTGCCCTTCCTGCAGGTATCAGGGAGGGTAAAGTTCCCCATGAGGACCAAGGCCTGAGAGCATAAGGCTTCTTTCAGTAGTCTGAGGAAGGTCTCCTCTACTCCTTCCTGATCTTCTACAACTCTACAGGCTGCTTCTTGTGAAAGGTTCATCTCAGTGAAGAAGACACCCTAAAATTCAAGGGCTAATGTGGGCATGGCTGTGAGGGACAGCTCTGCAGACCAGCTGCAATGTGCTGCCTCTCATCTCCACCTCCCTTCATTGCAGCGTCTGCACACACGATGTGACAACATAGCGCTCTACTCTTGGGCACACAGTGATGCGTGGTGTCTCATATGCTTTGGTGAGACCAGAAGCTGGGCTTCTCATGTCTCTATTTCAGAAATTTCAGTTCTCCCGGGTTGGAGACATTGGGTACCTGAAAGCTCCTGGAATGGATACAACATGGGTAGCTATCATATGGCTTCAATCTCAATGGAGCAAGACCGTTAGGAGTGAGACAGCAGGACCAGTCTTTGTTCCCTGGCCACTTGACAGTGACAACTAACAAGAAGGATGATCAGTATCAAAATACAGCAGAAGATTTACGATGTTGACCTTTATCCATAGGAAGCTAGACCTGAAAGCACCAGCACGTGGCTTCCCACTAGCACAAAACTGCCTTCTCCACTCGGGATTGTGACCTGGGAAGTGAGAAAATGCTGTCGATGATTTTTCCAGAAGACAGATCAAAGAGGAAAAAGCCCAGCTTATAACTGCACATAAAAAACAGCTATTAACCACAACTAGGAAAACACGCTCGATCATTAAAAACTCCAAGCATGTTATGTTATTGCTGTGACAGCCTGCAAAGAAGGTTCCTGCAGAGAAAGACATTATCAGTGCTGATGGCTGGTACGGCAGCTGACAGCGTTAGCTCGGTCTCTCTCAGCAGGAGCGTCTCTTGCAAGGGGTGGAAAATGACATTTCTTTTATTTGTACGTTGACAGTTATTATTTGTTTTATTTGCATGCGGGACAAAGTTAAAGAAAAAAACAACACGAAACCTTAGCAAGCGGAACTTGGAAAAGGATTTGCCACAAGCAAGTGATGAATAGTCAAAGATCTGAGTTTTGGGTTGGATAATTTGAGTGAAGCAAGGAGCTGTTTATGTAACTGAAAGCAATGTTAATGGTCTTTGATCAAAGAAAGACACGTATTTGCTTTCAGCATTCTTGGAGATACATCTAAGCCAACTCCGTCAGAAAGTTCTGCCTACTCCAGGCACTTGGAAGCATTAATTAGCAACAGAACGGCCCAAAATTGGTATAATCATCCCCTGCCTTAATCAAGCCCACGTTTACTGTCCTCTCCTCCAAGGCCTTGGAGTTATACCTGCAGTGCACCTAACCTGGCTGGCTTTGGATGCAGCCTCAGGCCTAGGTTACTCCCAAAACCTGCCACCTCATATCCATGTCTTCAGGCGGTTTTAAATAAGCTCGACTTCAAGGCTGCCTAGAAAATCCCTCCAGCCCTTGCTGCAAATGCCACTGAGGGCTCTCCTACCCCATAACTGAATCGCTGCCCAGTGGAAGGCAAATCCTTTCCTGACTTCCAGCCTTTCCTTAAAGGAAGAGCCCTGCAGTCACAGAATCACAGAATCACAGAATCACAGTACGTTAGGGATTGGAAGGGACCTCCAAAGCTCATCCAGTCCAATCCCCCTGCCGGAGCAGGAACACCCAGATGAGGTTACACAGGAAGGCGTCCAGGCGGGTTTTGAATGTCTGCAGAGAAGGAGACTCCACAACCTCTCTGGGCAGCCTGGGCCAGGGCTCTGTCACCCTCACTGAGAAGAAGTTTCTTCTCCAATTTCAGTGGAACCTCCTGTGTTCCAGCTTGTGCCCATTACCTCTTGTCCTATCATTGTTTGTCACCGAGAAGAGCCTGACTCCATCCTCGTGACACTCACCCTTTAAATATTTATAACCATGAATGAGGTCTCCCCTCAGTCTCCTCTTCTGCAAACTAAAGAGCCCCAGCTCCCTCAGCCGCTCCTCAGAAGGGAGATGCTCCACTCCCTTGATCATCTTTGTAGCCCTACGCTGGACTCTCTCCAGCAGTTCCTGTCCTTCTTGAACTGAGGGGCCCAGAACTGGATGGACACTGAAGTCTGGTTTTGCTGTGGGTGAGCAGCTTGCCCCATCTCCTGCCTTTACTTCATGCTTTTGTAGCACAACCTTGGCATAGCTGAGACTCCACCTCTGGTTTTCTGACCACGAATGCTGCATAATTCGAGGTTTCCTAATTCTGGTTTCTTGACTTTGGGCTGTCCCCAGTGGTGATGCTGCTTTTAAAGCAATCATGGACTGTCCATGTCTCATCAGTAATGCCCTGCGTAATCTTCTCTGCTCTAACAGCTGCTGTAAGGGCAGAAAACCACAGATGGAGGTAGGGGGACTCAGGATATACAATAGGTAGGAGAGAGCTGGATCCTACCAGCAATGCAGACAAGCACACTCTTGAGCATGTTTGAAAATCCAAGGAAATTACAGGAACTACTAATGGAGTACCCCCAGGATTACCCAAAATCAGACAGGTAGCAAATTTATGCTACGAATTGTTCTTGGGTCTGCTCCTCACAATGGTTTAGATGGAGCTTAACCACTTCTGCCTTGGATCAGCTCTGAATTTCCACCACTCCTGCCCTCCGTTACCTATTCTACTAACAAGTACCTTCCTTAACACATCTCTCCTCTCTATGCTTTCATCTTCTTGCTGATTTTCACATACTGTAAGATACTACAGGAAGGACATTGAGGGGCTGGAGCGTGCCCAGAGAAGGGCAAGGGAGCTGGAGAGGGATCGGGAGCAGCCGAATGATGGGGAGCGGCTGAGGGAGCTGAGGGGTTCAAGTGGAGAAGGGGAGCTGAGGGGTTCAAGTGGAGAAGAGGAGCTGAGGGGAGACCTTATCCCCTCTGCAGCTCCTGAAAGGAGGGGGTAGAGAGGGGGGGTCGGGCTCTGCTCCCCAGGAACAAGCGATGGGATGAGAGGAAATGGCCTGAAGTTGTGGCAGGGGAGGGTGAGGTTGGATTTTGGGAGGAACTTCTTCCCCGAAGGGTTCTGAGGGACTGGCAGGGGCTGCCCAGGGCAGTGGTGGAGTCCCCATCCCTGGAGGGGTTCAAAAGCCAGGGAGATGAGGTGCTGAGGGACATGGGTCAGTGGTGGGCTTGGCAGTGTTAGGTTAATGGTTGGACTCAATGATCTTAAAGGTCTTTTCCAACATAAATGATTCTGTGATGCTATGATAAATTCTTTGCTCTCTTCACACTTTCTCTTAACTCAAAGGGTGCAGCAATGAACAGAGATGTGGCTGTATGAAAATTGTGCCTTCTCACTCGCTAGCTCCCTATATATTATTGTAACATATTTATATAATTATATATATAATCCAATATATATCTTGGGTTATCTCCTGATTTCAGCTGTAAGCAATATTGTCGTTGCAGCTATTTTTTTCTGCCAACAGTGCAGTACAGTGACATATGAAAAGGAGTTTCAGGCAGGTCAGTGCTTTAAAACCTGGTTCAGAAGCCGGCAAACACTTTTTATTATGAATTTTATCACTGAGCACAGGTCTGGGAGATTATGCTAGGTTCTTTCTTACCTGGAACATCATTAAGCGTTGGAGTATACAAGAATCCAAAATAAGCTCCTAAAAGTGTTGCTGCAGCCCAATGCAACATCAGACTGCCTAAGGAGCAGAGGAGTATGAAGGTGGGAAAGGGTGGTTGTACTCACATACTTATTTCAAGTTAGATCACACTTTATTGCACTGTGATGTGCATCTGTAAAAATGTGTTTCAAAGAGTGTAAGAAGCAGAAATTAAAATGATTCAAAGGCTGGAGAATATGCCAGGTTGAAAGGACTTCAAAGAGCTCAATCTCTTTAGTTTATCAAAAAAAGTTCAAGTGTTGGCTTGAAGCAGGGTAAAAGTCCTTCCACAAAAAAACCCCAACCTGGTTACAAAAGAGTTTAATAAGCTAGCAGGGGAAGATTTAAATTGTGAAAGGTAATGCTGGAGGTATTCAGACAGGAGACAAGGTTTCATTTTTTCATGGTAGAGGGCATTAATCATGAGAAAATTATAAGGGAAGTGATGAAGTTTTCATTTCCTGATCACCCTAAAGGAAGTCTGGATACCTTCGTGAAGGATATATTTTAGCCAAATTCTAGTTACTGAGATCAAGACTGGGAAAACTGCGCGAAACAAGAGGGCCCAAAAAACCCAGGAAGCCAGACCACATGATGTAATGGCCTGCTCCAGATTAAATTCTGTGAATCATCAGCAGAAATTTAAACTGAATTCTGAGGGAGGACCAAGCCAAAAACCCCCTCAGTTACGTTAGCAGATCCCAGATATAGTAGAGAGAGTGGGAGATTAGGAAATGCATCTTGTTATTTATAAATTGAGTGCATCACTTCAGTTTCCAAAATATCAAGCTAGCCTCATCACTGCGTGACTTCGATTTCCAAAATATCAAGTGATGTTCATCACTGCCAGGCTTAGCAGAGAAGCCAGGGCATGGGTACCAAGGTCTCTCCAAGGAGCTGAGATGGAGCACAGCAGCCACTTGAAAACTGACACTGACACTCAGTTTGCTCTGAGGTTACACTGAAGTCATCTGGTACAGAAAGAGAACGATTTGGCAACTTTGACTAAGTGAAAAATACCTATTTTTTGTTTGAAGACAACTGATTTGGCAGAATAACAATACTTGTACTAAATATTTGTATGCTTAAATAAAGTACATTAGAATTTGCAGATTTTACATAACATTAAGTTATGTAAAAGGGAGTTTTATATTAGGTCTTATATACATAATAAAGACTGAATGTCTGTTTGATATATATATATATATATATACACACTAATAGTAAACAAAATCTTATGTTCTTATTTCATTACTCATGACCTACACAGGGGCAAAAAAACCAGTTAAATTTTTCTAGGACTTGAGAATTTATGAAGTGAACCTGAAAATGTGTCTTTAGACAAAGACATATTTAAGAATATTCAAAACCCAACTGGACAAGGTCCTGAGCAAATGCTCCAGTTGACTCAGCCTTGAGGGGTTGGACTGGCTGATCTCTAGAAGTCCCTTCCAACCTCAACAATTCAGTGATTTTATGAACATCACCCATTTGCAGGGACCTTACCTTGTCGTTCATCAGTTGATGGTTCAGTGGCGTCCATGTGCTCATCTTGATCTGTAGCTTGGGGCCATCCATGTTTCTAGGAGGTGCAAATGCCATAGGTATGGGAGCCGGTGGGTCCTCTGATGTCTTGTCAGCACCAATGGCTACAGCAATCAGATAGAACAAATTATATTAGTGAAAAGCAAATAATTTTAAGAAATAATCCAACGGTTTCAGAGCATAGCAATGATACAAGTAAAATTATTTAAAAATCAGTTAGGGTAAGGCCTTTTATTTTATGTACCCACAGTAACCGTGACAGTAAAGGCCAGATTTCCTGATGGGACCTCTGTGCACTAATGTCATATAAATAAATAATAATTAAGCAGGTCTTCCCCATCACAAATGTTACTGAATGTGCCTTAGATTTTTGCTGCGTGAATGGTCACAGCAGGGTATTTGCAGCGAGCTAGAATGTACATGAAATTTCTCTTTCCAGCTGTTGGCACTGAAAATGGCAGATAACTTGTGCATCTACTTCAGTGACACCAGATAGGTTTGTACTGGTTTTGACGGACGTATAATGCCAGGTCTCAAAGGGCCAATTTGTTTCTATAACATTTAACTGTAAGAATGAAATCCAGAACGGTTCAGAGTTGACTGCAATCTCTCAGGGTCCATGTTCAGGCAGATCTGTTTTGAAGGTTTGGACTGAATGTGCTGCTCTTTTGTCTACATGAAGTAAATCAGATATTTATCAAAATTTTCCCTTCCCTTTCACAGAATCACAGAATCACTCGGTTGG